AGGCAATATAGTTAATGTCGATAGAGTAATAGAGGTGCCACCTTCAATTTCAAATGTTTCATTCTGCTAGGAGGATTTAAAGATTGAAAGCTCGACAAGAAAGTTCATTAAAAATATATTAGAACTTAAAGTCAGAGCAGAATGGAGATTTACATCATCAATTCAAAAAACAAAACCAAATCTGAAAGAAGAAGAGCATAACTGGTCAACATTATGGCAAAGCATCAAGAGTCAAAGTAGAACAAAATACACAAGTATGAAAAGAAATAGAAAACTAGCAATACTAATTAAGTGTGTAAACAAAAAACTACCAGTACTCAAGACTCTGACACAAAGATGTCCAGACCTATACAAAAATGCAAATTATATACTATGCAATAAAGATCACAAAGAGGATCAAGACCACCTAGCAACATGCAACAAGCATGAAAAAGGATAGGAGAATACAGAGAATATGTCAATTGATTTGGCATGAACAGTACTTGCAGAAGAAACCCAAAGAAATTCAAGTAAAGAAGATCTCAAAAAGCTTTTGTGGAGAACCTCAAAAGAAGAAAAATCAGCAAGCAGATTCAAAATCATCAAAGGTCTAATACAAGAAAAAACCAAAAAGTCTGTATAAGATATTACATAATCTTTAAAGAAAACCAAGATTTTTATAACAGTTTCACAAATGCAGTGTGGAATGGTTTTTTCGAAAACATATAGAAAAAATGATGTAATAGTATCACTAATTGGGAAAACTAATAGGAATTAATATTGCAATTAAAAAGAAAAAAATTAACAAAAAACAAAACCTCTCAAGCAGAGAAACATAAAAAGAAGAAAAGAATATAAATTTAGATGAATAAAACCGAGCCATGAAGGAGGGAAAAAAGAAGAACAAGGTTCAAATTCAAGAAACATGGCTCGGTTCAGTTTTTAGTTTTGTAAATAGAAATGTAAGACCCTTTTTTCAGGATCTTACCAGCTAGCTTGGTATAGCCCTAGGCCAGTAATAATCACCTGGTCTGTGCGGCAAACTGCTTCTGGGCACTTATAGAAGTAGCCAAGAGATGTTGAACCAAAATTTAAGCCAACTTTGTATAACATATATACAAGAATCTTAATAAAGATGATCAGCAAGGCTGCTTAAAAAAAAAAAAAATTAGTATAACAAAAACTAAATTTAGTTTATATTACAAATTAAAAGCAATTAGAAATACTTGTAACTGCAAATATTAGTCTGACTATAGCATATTATATAAAATTAAATTAGTTATATGTAAGATATAGAAGGTTTTAATAAGTTTTTTATTGAGAACAAAGTAATTTTAAAAAGTTTGAATATATCAGATATTTTGGATAAGTGTACTTTTAAAGATATTACTATAATACAAGTTGGAATTATATATATAAAGAGTTTAAATAGTCAAGATCTATAGTTAACTTGCAAATATAATATCTAATATAAAATCTATATAATAATATAGATACCAAAAGTGCATATGTAACTAGTTATAATCTTTTATATATAAATACTTTTGAAAACATTTGTATTCAAAAAAACTTAAATAAAAACATTATTTTTCAGAAGCAAGAACTTTAACTTAAAAAAAAACTTCAATTTAATAAAATATTAATATAATTATCAAAAAAAAATTTAATATTAATAAATTTTTTTTTTTTTTTTTTCAGTATTAAGGTGACCTCTTTGGTCTTTTGACTTTATTAATACTTTTGTCAGGTATCATGACAAGTATACAACTGGCTACACATGTAATTTTTCTATATTACCTATTTAAGAGGTCTGCTCGAAGGTTCCTTACCAGTTGCCATACCTAACACCTCTGCTTAAGTGTTCCATTTAAACCCTCTGATCCGAAATCCTTGTACCAACTTCACTGGGTCAAGCCCAGATCCTTGTCTCAACCTTAGGACTATTTTATCTTCGAGATAAACCTACCAGAGCCTCCATGTCCTACATATAGCTAACCTGGATTTCATGTAACATGCTATAGTTACCTAACACTTGCAGTCAGGACTAACCTTAAACTGCTACATTACATTATTTTTTACTCTTAAAAGTTCACTTAAACTCTGGTACTTATCTTTCTGACTTCTTCTTTTCATCCTTATACTATCCAACTTAGAATCCGACAGACTCCCCAGACTTCCAATTCAGATAGCCTAGTATAGTATATCTTTTGGTATCTTTTTCCTCTGGCAATTCCAGTGGCCTAGTTGGTCATGTGCTCCTCTACACATCTTTTCATCTAGTTGCATGTTTGCCTATTCCTTATTGGGGTTTTCTGGGCTTTCATTAGTCTGACAGCACTATCGAAGATTTGTGCTACCTCTTTCTTGGGATTTTCAAGTAGAATTCTGTCTTCTCGGTTTCTTGGTCTTCTACATCTAGTGATCTTATCATGAGTTTGCACTAGAATCTTATGCAATCCCAGTTTTAACATTCCTCTATATATATGTAACGTTACATTTTACATAGATGCCCCAGGCTCCCAATGATGAGTAGAACCTGATTGGTTGTACTCAAAATTACAGATACCTAAATCTAACCGATCGACAGGAGACAGTTTAACCATAACACAGATTAATTTCTAAATTTTGTCATAGATGGGATTTGAATCTTATACCTGCCACTTGGAGGATAACAACCCAATCACTATACTAGGATTACCATCCTCTAATAATTTTTTTCCTTTTAAGCAGTCATGTTAGTACTTTATTAAAAAATTTAAAATTACTTTTGTAATTACATAAATATATTTAATAACTAAGTCTAATATTTAATAACTAAGTCTAACATCATTTGATCACCTTAATAATATCTAAATGCAACCTGTTACATTACTTCAAACAAAAGTAAGCTGCTTGTCTAACTATTTAAAATACATCTTTTTTTATTTATGACAAATCTTAATATTGTTTTTCTAACTTATTCAATTTATTTTTCTTTTTTAATATATATTAGTTAATTATTTTAATTACTTTTAAATATTACTTAGTATTTTAATATAAAAAATAAAATATTTTTAACTTGTCTTTTGTAAATAATCTTTTTGACTTTTTTGCATAGTAATTATATAAGACTCTTTAGTACTACTAGTAAATAGTATTTTGTCTTTTAAGTAAATCAAAAATATAATTCTTTTGTATAGTAAATACGTATTATATAATGTAATGTTAGTCTAAAGCTAAGAATGTATTTTATAGTAATTTTTATTAGTGAAACGTTACGTTCAAAAAATACTTTAAAGCATATAAATAAATTATTTGAAAAATTGCACTACGTAAAATATGTTTATCATTACGGAAAATGCCGAAATTACGTTTTTGATAATTCTATTATCAATGCATCAAAACCGTAATTTCGGATGCCAAAGCGCATATAAATTTGAGTTCTTCATTTTGCACTAACAAAATGTTAAAGAAAAGGTTTATCCACTATATTACTGTAAAAGTATCTAGATCTCTAATTCAATCACAATCGTGATTTAACTAACATATTGACCAACATGTAGTACAAAAGTACAAAATCACGGTACCGAAAAGTTTTGAAGGGTAATAGTCCTTAGCGACTATTTTTGTTGCTATACAATTACCATATTTACTATAAATAATAATGAATACGTACATAGTTCATGTCTCTTTTATTGAATTAGTAACCACTTTTTAGCATTTATACACTATAAGTGTATGCTTCTAAATTTATTTATCAAAATGATAATTCGGGTATTTTACTGTATTCAATTTTGATTGAGTGGAACCTTTTTCAAGAGTTTGGCTAAACTCAACCTAATAATTTTATTATAATAATAATTGTTTATACGATATAGGTATAGATATTGCGCAATTTTTTATATAAATGACAATGGTTTTTTGAAGATTGGGATTTGTCCGGGTTTTGGCAGCAATTTGACCGAATAAAATGCCAAATTAAGAAGTTCTTATTTTACAATTACAACTAATATCGGATCAAAACCCAGTGTACCATATGAAGTATGTTACAAATATACGAAGATATTGTCATATTTATTCAACGGAACACATGACGTATCATTACTGCAGTAAAGATGTTCATTTATTAGATCAAAATTCGTCATTTAGAAAAAACCGATTATACAGAAAAAAAAATCGAATAATTATAATTGGATTAAAGTTTGATACGTACTGATCTGGAAATTCAAAGGGTCCGAATATCGTATCGATATGGATAAGATATGTATACGAATACGTATAACTAATATAACTATGTATATACAGTATATATGGTATGTACTGACGGTTAAGAAACAAGTTCAGGGGGAGTTACATAGCATTCATTACGTTGATTAGATCGGGTTCGATAATCCCTTTTAAGTTAAAATCAAATCTATAATAATGATGTAATAGATGTTTTATATTAAGTTCATAATAAGGATTTATCGTATGATAAGTACAAAAGTGTGATCGGATAAATAAACAATTGTGTAATTATCAAAAAAAGCTATACTCACCCTACATATATCTTATCCGTTACTGTAAGCTACTGTAAGCTACTGTAAGTACTGTAAGTTTCTGTAAGTATAATACTTAAAAATTTTGTTACATACGGAAAATCATTTACGATTCTGTCTTTGCTGTAATTATTAAAAACCGGAACATAATAATATGATTAAGATTTAAACAAGTTGATTATTTCTTATGGATTATGTTAAGACAAAGAAGGATTGTGATCGGTTGTCGGCGCTAAGAGTGTCTGTGTGGCAGATAAATACATAATCTCTTATCTTGGAATGGGAGTTTCACGGATTGGTTTTACCGTCTGACCTCTGACCATTCGGATTTCATATTTATTTGTTTTTGTTGCGCCAAAATTTCCCTAAGCGGCTCTGGGTTTTTTTTCTTCCAAAATCCGTTCCTCATATATTTGTATATAGTTCTTATATATATATTTTTTATTCTCTTTTTACTCTTACAAGTCCTCTTTTGTTATTTACGAATTTTTAACGATGTTAACGATGTCAAAGTTTTTTCTTCTTGCTACTTTATTTTTCTCCCTAACATTGGGTGCTCCTTTTAGTTATATTCATTTGGAAACTATCCAATTTGAAAGTAGTAATCTTGCTCCTTTATTATCTTCAAGGAATGCTGAAATTATTCCTGACCAATATATCGTTGTGTTCAAAAACCAACTTCCAAAGGAGAAAGTGGAATACCATCATAATTGCATTCGCTCCTTTGTTGAGGAGGAAAATCAAAAACTCGCCAAGAGAGGTATACTTGATAAATTGATCCACGGCATCACACATATTTATGATTTAAAGGTCATAAAAGGCTATGCCGGTAAATTCACAAAAGAGGTTCTAAATAAGATTAGGCAAAGTGAAGAGGTAAAATATATTTATATATATTTATCTGATTGATATGATTTTATTATAGATTTGATTTTAATTGATTTGATTCTTCAAATTTTATTATTCCTAAAAATTTAGGTTGCTTGGGTTGAAAGAGATCAAGTAGTTTATGCTTCTGACTTGCAACGCAATGCTCCTTGGGGTTTGGCCCGTATTGCTCATCGATCAGCCTTAACATTTTCGACTTTCAACAAATATCTTTACGATCCACGGGGTGGAGAGGGCATCACTGTTTATATAATAGATACTGGTATCAATATTAATCATACTGACTTTGAAGGTAGAGCTTCGTGGGGTGCTACAATTCCCGAAAATGATGAAGATGTAGATGGTAATGGTCACGGTACCCATGTTGCTGGAACTGTCGCTGGTAAACGTTATGGTGTAGCAAAAAAAGCAAAGGTTGTTGCCGTAAAAGTTTTAAGATCCAACGGTTCTGGTACTATGTCTGACGTAATTAAGGGCGTCGAATTTGCTGCCGAGGCTCATTTAGAAGAAAAAGAAAACGCCAGGAAAACTGGTCGTCGTTTCAAGGGTTCTGGTGCTAATATGAGTCTAGGTGGTGGTAGAAGTAAAGCTTTAGATTTGGCAGTTGATGGTGTATGTTTTACCTTTTTGATTTATTTCATTTTTTACTCTGTCATTTAATTTTTACATTCTAATTATTATTTTTCTATGTTCTAAAATATTAATTCACATTTTCATAGGCTGTAGATGTTGGTCTCCACTTTGCTGTTGCTGCTGGCAATGATAATCGTGACGCCTGTGAATATTCCCCTGCCGCTTCTGAATTATCTATCACCGTTGGTGCTTCTACCATTGAAGATGAACGTGCCTGGTTCTCTAACCATGGTCCATGTGTTGATGTTTTTGGTCCCGTGAGTATCTCTTTATTATATGTATAATAATAATGATATCTGTTATAACTATTTGTTAATTATCATTTAATACTATATTCAGGGAAAGGATATCACATCTTCTTGGATTGGCTCACGAACTGCCACCAACACTATCTCTGGAACTAGCATGGCCTCTCCTCATGTTGCCGGTTTGATCGCATATTTGCTTTCTCTCCAACCTTATTCTGCTGAACCTATAACTCCAAAGGAACTCAAGAATTTGATCATTAAATATTCTACGAAAGGTGTTCTTACGAAAATTCCTAGTAACACCGATAATTACTTGATATTTAACAACTTTGCTGAATAAGGGAATAATAGGACTTTTAATTAACCTTTTTTTTTTTTCTAAATTGCAACTATTGTGCTCGTGTAACCATCTTATTCAAAAAGAATGTTAGATTCAAAAACATTTAAAATTTTATATAGTAGATGGTTTTTTTATTCAGTATATAAATTTCATTGGTATTAAATTTAATAAAGTATGTTGAAAATCACGCAATGCTCTTTATTACTTACAATTACATTTATGTAATTTAATAAAGTACGTTGAAAATCACGTAACGCTTATTATTATCTACAGCGTAATTTCAATTTTTTAATTGATTGACAAAAAATTAAATTTTATTTTAAGTACAATTGGAATGATCAATATTTCTTTATCGTTAAGTCTAAAACGGAAGAGATGGCTTATTCTTTTCTTTTTCTTTAAGTTTTTCCTATATGAAAGTTTAGAATTCGAATTGTAATTAGTCAACTGTTCTGGAGCTTTAATCGATCCATTTTTATACACATACCAATCTCCAAGCTGCGATAGTTTGCGGCATTTCTTCTAAAGCTTTTGCGATCTTTGCTTTTCTGTATTATAAAAATTAATTTTTTGGTATTACATGTATATATATTGAATGCTAATGTTTTTAATAATATGATAATACCTCTCAGGAGCATTCCTTTCATGTTTAGCACCTTTACGAGGTTTATTTCTAGGAGGTTTCTTTTCAGGTTTAGGTGGCAATCCAATACTATTAGGATCAATTCCTAAATACTCACAATTTTTTCTCATATCAGCTAATTTCCTTCTGCTAACTTTTGGTGCTTTCCATTTTGCTTTACCCCACAAATTAATATTTTTAAATGTTGGTTTAAAATCTGATGGTTTATATTGCTGTTTTATATGATTTAATTTTTGAGCTGAAATGCATTTTGTTGCAGTTCCTTTAATTGCTACGGAATGATTCGTTATTGCATCTTTAATTGCTTTTGAAATTATTTTCATTTTTTTAAAAGTGGTTTTTTTTTTCGAAATTTGATTTAAAAATATGTATAGTATCACAAAAATCAGATGTTTAATATTGATATCGATACATATCAGGCACAAGACAATGTCGATCTTAATACTGTAAAAATCTTGTTTGCAAGCAAAAGTTTAACGTGTAAAGAATAAAATAAGCGACAACTCCCTAAACGCAAAGATCTCATTTGTTGATTAGCGCATTATAGAACATTGCATTTATGAGGAGTCTAGCGTATACGTATTTGAGAAGTTGTATTTAGGGTGACGTTTCAATAGAAAGGGCTTAATTTTAAATACAATTTATCATAACGATAATAAATCGTTTTTCAGGCCAATTTGCTTGAAGATTTCATGATTGATCTATTATTAAGTTATCAAATTATATTGGATTGTAGTCTAAATCGTAGTTAAATTGATGGTTTTAAGGGATAATCTTAGTGATTAAAAAAAGAAAGGTCCTGTTTAGAGACTTTCACCCATCCAGGATCATATGGGTGAGTACACAGCAAAACCATGCTTAGAGATCCTGAATTGTCAAATTAATTTTGTATTGTTATAATAATTCAATTCAGAATCCAAGTCGTATTGTGTTTTCATGTGATTTAAGGACCGAGCCTTACCGATCCTGCAGGTCCTTGTAGGATTCGATCCCAAAAGACCGATTATACTCTAAGTATAGTTTTGTACCCATATAATAAGTTGAGGCCAAATAATAATCGCCTTGACAATCAGAAATCCCAATACTCAATAGCTCGCCGAATTATTCCTATCGTTTAAAGCATTAAATCAGTATTGTAAGCCGATTAGGGACTAGTCGATTTAGTAGACCCCTGATCGACTTAAACAAAACTATCATTAGGTATTGTTTATATAAGTCATGCTCTAGCCTAGGGGTTTCAAAAATTAAAACCATTTATTTTTCCGATTTATAATTCGTTTGCAACACTAATTCAAGATTATATTCATCTCAAAAACTTTAACAGTAGAAATTGCCGGAAGTTAATATAGTCTTTCTATAGGGTTGAAATGCAGCTAGCTATCTTACAATGAAAAGTTTTTGAGTTTCTAACAAAGATTATAGAGTAAGTTATTCCAGTTCTAATAGTGGTAGAATTATTCAAATTGGTTTGGTAGATCGCGAGTTATTGGCATTTCTCCTTTACAACTATATGACTTTTACATATCGATATATATTGCCAGAAACGATTAACGTATCAAATACGTATATAAAGGAGGAAACGTTGGCGTTACACGACTGATCCTTCATCCGGTATGCAACATATATAAAAATTATTTTACAATACCAGATTATTCCGCTAGTACATGTTATAACACCATTTTATTATAATATGGTATTGGACTACGTATAACCATAACATGTACTAGCAGAATGATCTGGTATTGTAAAATAATTTTTTATATGTTGCACACCGGGTGAAGGATTAGTCAACGTTAACTCCTGTTCAGATAAAATAAGTAGTTAATTAAACATTCGATGTACTACAATTAAAAAAAACGCAAATATTCTATCCATAACGACTAAGAATTATTTCGAGTTATTCAATTATTTTTAAACTTGAAATTATTTTCTTTATATTTATTATAGTATACAGTAATCATTAATTGTCTCAATAACATGATTAATATCCAATTTCGGATTTTATCTGTGTTAGTGTTAGAACAATTATTGCAAGATTTATTACAAGATTAAAGAATGAATTATTTGAGGCACAGATTTAATAGATACATACATATTAGTAAAAATGGTTTATTCCAGTGATTTTTTTAAAAATTATCTGCTTTATTTATAATAAAATTAAAGATTATAATAATTAACTACTTAATAAGTAAGGTTAATTCAGATAACTAAATTATTAATTAAAAATAAAATTGTTTAATAATTTAAAATTTGTTTTGTTATTTAATATGAATTTTTTTAAATAATTAATAGCTAAAAAATATTAAATGGTCTAATCTTTATTATTACTATTTGACATTAATTATTAACTATAAGCTTTGAAATTACAAAAAAATTAACTTAATACGTAGTTAAAAACCAAAGACTAAAATTAATTTTTATAGATTTAGTTTTTAACTTGGTGTAAAAATCAGTCTTACAAGTTTTTTGATCAAATTGGTAATTACAAATTTAAAAATATATTACTAAATCTATAAATTATTTTAAATCTGTATGTTTTATTAAATTTATAATTATTGTTAAATTTACATGCATCAATTTTTTTATTTATTTATTAAGACTGATGTTTATAGTAATTATTATCTTTATTTTATTTTATTTTTTTTGTATTAAAGTTCCTGTCTTTAAATAGCAATTTTTATTTATTATTATAAGCATAAAAACTTTGAAAGATTTTTTATATAGGTTACAGTTAACTACACATGCATTTTTGGTACCTAATTTAAGTAGTTCACTTATATATTATTATACAAATTCTATATTAGATATTATATCTATAAGCTAACTATAGGTTTTGTTTATTTAAACTTTTTATATATATAGTAAAAAATATCTTCAAAGCACAGTTTATTTAAAATTCTCAATCCTTATTAGTACTTTTAAAACTATATATTTTATTTTTAACATAAGACTTACTAGAGTTTTTTGTATCTTACATATAATTAATCTAATTTTATATAACATATTATAGTCAGATTAATATTTGTAATTAGATATTTTTGTTAAATCACTACTATTTTTGTAAAATTTACTAAAATTCTAATACTGTAATAAAATTTACTAAAAACTATCAAGCTGTAGCAAATTTTAAAGTGATGAAGGTCGAGTGGAAGATCT